TATTGTACTTTTCAATTTCTTTTAGTGTATTTCATCAACTTTCTCTTCCCATTTCTTAAATACTGTGAAAAAACACAAACATTAACTATAAATTGGGACGGAAGGAGTACAAAACTTTTGTGTTACTCCGTACATTACAAACAGATTTCGAAGTATAACTACAGCAACTTGTTATATTTTTTTTTTAAGGTAAGAGAAATTAAATATTAGGACAGCTTAAATGCTAATTTGCTATATACCATCTCACATTCACACCTCTAAGAATAAAAGTATGCCAATATGCCATCATAATATATCACCATTAGAGGAGTCAATTCGGATAACCGGATAGAGTTTGGTCGAGTCTGTTTGAATCGGGTATATTTGATTCAAATTTATCCTATTAACCCGCCTCGGATCGGATTGGATCTCTTTCGGGTCGGAGCAAATTCGGGTCAAGATCTGTTGGGTCCAGGTCGGGTTTGAGTAAGGTCAACTTCAAATCGGTTCATATTCGGTTCGGGTTCAAAACGGGTTTGACCGAGTTAATTTCGGGTTGATGACTTTGTATCGGGTTGGTTCCGGTTTGGTTGATTTCGGTTCTATTAAGTTCGATTTGAATACTAAGTTTGATTCAGTATTCTGTCAATTCTTATTTAGATACTTTTCATGTTTGACTGAATTTTGATTGGGTTGACCAAATTTAATATTTAAATAAGTACATTTTTAAAACTAGAGTAATTATTGAGTTTTTGTTATTTTAAATCTTGTTATTAGGTCGAAATCAAGTCATTCACATGTCATTTTTTCATATCGTGTCATTAATATATGTTTAAGTAAAAAAAAAAAGGTAGGTTGGGTTAGGTTGGTTTGAAATCATGCCAAGTCAAAATATGGTCAGGTTAAAATCGGGTTGGGTTAATATCAATTCGGATAAAAAAAGATCGGATTGAATCGGGTATTTGTCGGGTCAGTTTCGGTTCGGATTGAGTTCAAGTCGGATCAAATCGGTTCGGTTTGAGTTCAAGTTGGGTCAAATCGGTTTCGGGTCGACTTCAATTCAGGTCAAATCGGTGCCGGGTTAAATTCAAATCGTGTCAAATTCATATTCAAGTTGAGTTCAGTTCGGTTACAGATCGGATTTGGGTCTTGACTTTCTCGGATCAAATCGAATTAGTTATAGTTCGAAACGCATAGTTTTTTTTGGGTCACTTCGATTTTGACATCTCAAAAACTCGAACAGTACAAAACCCAAGTTTGTTACCAGCTAGCTAGCCCTACTTTGCCACCACCACCATGGAAAAACATACTCGATCTATTCCTAGTGGTTTGCATACTTATGAGTTAAACGGTTCTAAACTATATGTATTTCGTATCATTATTCACAATACATTATTTATGTGTACGAGATTGATTAATCTCGGATATTAACGTAAGCCTACTACTCATGTCCATATAGTATAATATCCAAAGGAATGACAAATGGTGATGACAGTATAGTAATAAGGAGTAACAGTAAAAACAATAGAGTTGTAAGTGATTAGCGTAACTGAAACCGAGGTTGCCGTGAAAATAAAAGAGAGAGAAGAAGAAAGCAGAGGAGTGTGTTCCAAGACACAATCATTACATGGCCCTCTTGGGGAAGCAGAAAGGATGGCGTTGGCGTGGAATAACAAAGTTATTATTATATTTCATTTAATTATACATGTAGGTTTAGTAATTAGTAGTCGTAGAAGTAAATTGCAAGCATATATAGGCTAGTTTTAATTTTATATAATCAAATAAAAAGGTATATATAGAAAAAATAAAAACATATTGTCTAGCTTTTATCATGACGAAACTGAGGCTTATTACTTTATGAAATTGCAGGCTTCTTCAATTCCTATCTATTGTCAACATTTTTTGCCTTTTAGCTTTTTAGGTCTTTTGGTCGGTCCACACATTCTTGTTTCTGTTATTGTCTTCTCATTATATTCTTCTCCTCTTCATTTTTATTATTACCAACTATTCAATCATGCTTTTTGTAACTTATTTCATACAACACTCGTTTTTTAAATCGTTCTTATTAATTCATATGGTTGATCAAAACTTATGTTTCCAACATTGGCTTCGTAAATAGTATACTAGATTAGAATTTATTCATAAGAGAATTTACTACCTCCGTTTTTTTTTTATGTGCAACTTTGAGGAATATTTGTGAGACATAAAATATTCCAAAGTTGCACATACAAAAAAAAAACAGAGTTAGTATATGATTACATACTTTAAAAGAATTTTTCATAATTCTCGAACTTTCTTTAATAATTTAAAAACATAATAATGAGGATTGTAAAATATCATTATATTTATATACATAAATTTTAATATATGGCTGATCACACCGTGTAGCCGGGGTTATTTACTCAAGGGTTACTTATTTTGGGGTCACTTATTCAGGGGTTACTCGGTCGGTTAGGGATTACTTGGTTAGGGGTTATTCTCACACAGAAGACGCTCTAACCGACTGAATAACCCCAGAATAAGTAACTCTTGATCGATTGAGTAACCCCTAAATAAGTAACTCCGACAAAAACCCGCTAACCGACTAAATAACCCCAAAATAAGTAACTCTTGACCGACTGATGAGTAACCTCTAAATAAGTAACCCCGACGAAAACACGCTAACCGACTGAGTAACCCTAAAATAAGTAACTCTGGATCGACTGAGTAACCCCTAAATAAGTAATACCTGAATAAGTAACCGCAGCCACACAGAAAAAACACCGGTTTATATAACAAATTTGTCATTATGTTTTACTTATTTTCTCATCTACAACTAAAATAAGTTTTAATAAAATTAATAAAGTTCAATATCGTTCATATGATTAATTCATTAATTAAAGGTATTAAGTTTAGATAGTTTAATTAAGTTCATGTAAGAGAAAAACAAGTAATTAAATACATTGTCCCTAGCTTACTTTAAATTTAATTGTGAGCAAGCTATTTAAAAACATTTATCTTTCTATTAATCTCATTGATTGAAAAAAAAAAAATCTTAAATTTATGTTATCTAAAAACATTTATCTTTCTATTAATCTTATTTTTTCTGAAATATGGAGTAAGTAATTTGTGAAAATAAGTTAAACAAAAAGTAGAAAAAAATAGCATACTAGTCATGACATGTAACTTGTGTATTATTCGTAATAATTAATTATTATGAAGGTAAAATTCGACTAAGATAATTTGAGTTACCGAATCATAACTTTTACAGAGTAAATAATTATCAGTAAATTTGATGAACCATCAACGAAGATTATATATATGGGAAAAGATGAGGAGACAAATCTTTTATTAAATTCACTAATTGTTGATGAACCAATAATCTCTTAAAATATTCTCACCATCCGTGTATTTATAAAGTTTAAATTCTGTTCATTTTGCCAAAAAAGTCACTAGTGTATACGGAGTACAATATACATTACCTACACATTTAAGAACTCAATATTTTAGACTTTCATAGGCGATCTTATGTGTTGCCCTACCCAAAAACTGATGCACTTATAACCGTATACGTAGAGGATAAGAAAGAAGGTGAAAGTATAGAGTTTGGACCAATCACTAGGAAACAAACTGTATATTCTTTTGCATATAATCGATTAAAAGAAACCCTCCACTGTTTGATAGCAACTCAAGGGTCACAAAAGAAAGACATAAATATGCCTTAAAAAGAAAGGAAACCCAAATCCTAGCTAGTGCTCCATGCTCTAACTATATACTTATAGTGAGGGGCTGAGGGCTACCCATAATCATCACACTTATAAGAAAAAGAAAGAGGGAGAGATCGGATCCAGGACGCGAAATATATAATAATTTATGTATATTTGAGTGTACTTATAAGTAGTTATAAAATTTAGATAATTAAAATTTATGCTCTAAAAAGTTGGTTTAGGCTCTATTTGATTTAACTCTATTTTGTATGAAATTATTATACCGGAGTTTATCTAAATTTAAAGGAAGTATAAAAATTATTTCATCCGATCATTTCAAAATAATTAATATAGTTTGACTTTTTTCACCTATTTATAAACTAATTTTGGCCATAGTTTTTACTTTATTAATGATTTTCTAAGAAATGTTATTATGTACATAAAATATTGCTTTATATGAGTACATAAAATATTGCTAAATAAGTATTAATCTAACTTTTCATAATATCTATTTTCTATATAATTTTTAGTAATATTTACTTATAGTTTATTATTATTAAACTAGTGTATTGACAAATGTGCCAAATTTTGACCAGAGCTATGTATTCTGGAACAAACAATGACTAAGGTCTTGTTTAGTTCAACTTATTTTTACTTATTTCAGAAAAAATAAGTTCAGATGTTCAGATCAGATCATCGTTTTATGTGCAATTTTTTATCGCTAAATATCTTTAATTTAGTAATGAAAAAAATTATGAAAATTACATATTAATAAAATACACATTATTACCAATCTAACAAGATCCCACTTGATACATTTTTTCCTTACAGATTATTATACACTTAAGGTCAAAGTTTGGTCAAATAAGACAATAAGATCAGATCACAGATCAGATCAGACCAGACTAGATCAGATAAGTTTAGATAAGCAAAAATAAGGTGAACTAAACAGGGCCTAAACTTATATTATCTAAACTTATTTTCTCTTACCTTGCCATATTATATTTGTGTGTTGATTTTGTTTGAAAATACCTATTTTTTCTAAATGGACATGAAGTAACAATAAGTTAAAATAAGGTGAAAAAACAACATGGGTCAGATGTCTTCGGAGCTAAATTTCGGTAAACCGGATGGACACATCCAAAAAAAACTGAAAAACAATCGACAAACTATCAGTTTAGTGAATATAACAACGACTTCGATTCTCCTATATAATATATATTTAAATACATCCGAGTGTAACATACACATGTTACATTGAGAAAGTCTAAAAAGCATAAGGAATAAACAAACATACCTACAGTGGCTAGAAAGCACAACCGAAAAGGTGTTAATAGTTTAGATTAAATGATGAAAAATTTTATATTATACTCCGTATATATATACTTCATTCTACTTAAAAGTCATCACTCCCCAAATAACCTTCCATGTTCCAACTGATGGAAGGAGAGAGAATTAAACAAAGAAAAGAGATAATTAATTAATTATTATTTAAAGATTTAAGCGCACTTAGAGTTAAAGAGAGATAATTACACTAAAGTGTGTATTAGAAAGGTTTGATTACATATATAAACAAGACACCCTTTCTTCAAAAGAGACAATACTCCAAGACCCCCTCATCAACTAAAATGTGTTTCCCTTTCTCTCCCCTTTCTTCTCCCTTCATTCTTTCCTCTTTTACCCTATAAAAAAAAAACACAAAAACAAAAATCTCTCTTTTTCATAAAATTATTCTCTATCTTTTTCAAATGAATGAATAATATTGAAGAATTACAACAACATCAAAATCAACAAGAAGAAGAAGAAGAGGAATTACAAGCAGATTACCAAAACTGCCCTCAACCAAATAATAACAACTTAGAAATAATGCAACAATATCACCAAGCAACATCTCATTCTGATCCATTTGGAGGTAATTTTGTAGGTGGTGGTGGAAGGGCAGGAATGGTATTTCCAGATCTTTCCCCTCCGCCACCGATACCGCCACAACAACACCTCTTACCATGGGAGCTTCCACAAGTAGTCCATTCATTCCAACCTTCTATGACAAATAACCATAATCTTGATCCCTACTTTTTTCCGTCTTCGTCTTCGTACGGCGGATTGTTTACTACTCGAAGGTCATCATCATCTAATCATCATACAAATTCACTTCAGTTTGCTTATGAGGGTGCATCCTCGGATCATCATCATCTTAGGCTTCTTTCCGATGCCCTCGGTCCGATGGTTCATCAACCGGGTTCGGCTCCTTTCGGCCTTCAAGCTGAGCTTAATAAGATGACTGCTCAAGAGATCATGGATGCTAAAGCTCTTGCTGCTTCTAAGAGTCATAGTGAAGCCGAACGTCGTCGCCGCGAAAGGATTAATAATCATCTTGCTAAGTTGAGAAGCTTGTTACCTAGCACCACTAAAGTAAGTCCTTCATCTAAATCAATTTAAACTTCCAATCAAAATAAAATGAAAACCCTTTTGAGAAATATTCTTCATAAAAAATATATATGTTTTTTGTTACCTAGCTACAAATTATTCTTTGTTTAATTATAATCATTTGAATAGTATATGTTAAAACTAGTAGCACGCCTAGCAAGAGATTTCATTTTATAATAACATGTAAACTTTGGGCTAAAAATTAGTTTGAAGATTTGGTATGGATTTTACAAAAGACTTAAACCATTTGGAATTATTTGATCAAAGATATTCATAAATTTTGTACTTATATGGGATTTATCATTTATATATGTATGTAGTATATTCCAACTTCATTCCAAACATATATATTGGTCATGTAATAATAATATCCTTTGTTTTCTTTTTGTGTGTTTTCTTCTTTTATTTTTTGGATTTTTTAGTGGTAAAACCAAGAAAAAAAAAAGTAACAAAAATAGATTAGATAGATAGCGTTAATGTCGCTTGGTTGTATGATAAAGAGGAACCAATTACAGATGAAAAAGCTTACATGGAAATTTCTTGCCGGTGTATGAGTCAAACTTATAAATCATACACCACATTATTCTTATGAAACCACTAACAAACACATAAAATCATAAAATTAAAATCTTCTAAACTTTATTTTGTTTTGATTGTTGCTTGTGTTTTTCTATATTATTAGACGGACAAGGCGTCGTTGCTAGCGGAAGTGATCCAACACGTGAAGGAGCTAAGGAGGCAGACGTCGATAATAGCCGAGACAAGTGTAGTCCCAACGGAGAGCGACGAGCTCACGGTGGATCCAGCATCGGATGAACAAGATGGCAAGTTTATAATTAAGGCATCGTTGTGTTGTGATGATCGTACTGATTTATTACCGGATTTAATCAAGGCCTTAAAAACCCTTAGGTTAAGGACCTTAAAGGCGGAGATTACTACCCTAGGTGGAAGGGTTAAGAACGTACTATTTGTCACACATGAGCCTAATATAAGTGACCATGATAATAATGATAACCAAGATGACCACGACGAGGATGTACCACCTGGCCAATGCTCGATAAGCTCGATACAAGAGGCGTTGAAGGCGGTTATGGAGAAGTCCGGCGGTGGGGATGAGTCTACTTCGGGTAATCCTAAGAGGCAAAGGACTGCAAACATTACAATCTCTTAACTTAAATGATATAGTACGTACTATAACTATTATTAGTACGATTATATTTAACAAAGGGTCACATTGAAATATTTTATACTAACAAATATGACCTTAATTAAATTACCTTGCATGGGTGTTAAATTAGTTCCTTCTTTTTTTTTCTTTTTTTTTTTTTGGGTATTATTTTGGTTTGCATGGGTGTGGTTAATTAATTAGCGTCTTCTTCTTCTACTTCTTCTCGTTGTTATTACAATCAATGTACCGCGATTTCAGATTTTCTCTGATGACAAGAGATATATGATCATATGGCTTGAATTGGGTTTTTCTTATGAGTGTTACATTATGTTCATCATATAATACTTTCCATGCACATATATTATATATATCAGAATTTGAAGACAATTTAGAATGATGACATTTTGTAGTTTACATTATGCTTTGTTCAGTAGGAAAAAAAGTACTAGTTCAGTATGAGAGCGAGGTTGTTAGCAGAACCAAAAAAAAAAAAAAAAAAAAAAAAAAAAAAAAAAAAAAAAAAAAGAAAGAAAAAAAAAGGAAGGAAATCTTTTTCGTGAAGAGAGGTACCTTACATAAATTCCTTAAATAGAAATAAATTGAATATTATTTGCAATATTATTTATTTCAGGCAGCTAGGAAATATGTACAATATATATATAGAAAAAAAAAAAAGTTGGAAGTAAAAATGGTTGTAATGTAGTGGGGTTTGTTGAAAGAGAATGGGATTAGACATCATCATCATCATATGTGTAATGGTGATGTAGGTGAATTTGTTCATAAAAATATGTCATAATTTTGTAACACTCATAATATACAAGTATATAGTAGTATTTATATAAATATATAAAAACATTATGATATGTATGGTTTTTGTAAGATGCTTATGTAAGCTACCAAATTGTCTCACTAAGGTTGTGTTATATCAGAAGAAACTAGTGTGCTGAAATTGATAGAGGCAGATGTCATTTTATAACTAGTACTGTAGTAGTTTTCTTGGTGGTCTCCCCACCCCCCATTCTATCTTTCTCTATATATCTTTCTCTCTTTTGTTCCTTTGATTTGTTTTATGTCTTTAGTTTTGTCTTTGGTTGTGTTTGGATCTTACTTTTGGAATGTAGTTGTGGATGATTAGTAGAATATGTAATATACTTCTATTTGGATGTTAGGAGGTGGTTAGGGCTATAGATGCATAGTTTAATACTTCTTAATTATTTAACAATCAATTAAACTCGGATAGGCCTTATTTTATTCCCTTTTAAAGATAATAAATTGTAAATATACTATAAGTTTGTTCAGTAAATTTAAGTTTACATCAATAGAAATAAGTTAATTACAATCGACAAAAATATGATGTTAAAAGTTGTTTTAATTAATGAATATAAGTATTAATATGAAAAAAATCGGTTTTATTAAGTAAAAATAATATTAATATATGTTAAAAAATAAGTTTAATTTCAACAAATATTTAGTGAAGAGATCAACATTGAATTTGAAAAAAATAATTGATTACTAAATTAAATGTGGTAAGCGACAATCCATCATCAAGATTTTAGGTTTAACACAACCATTATGGGGAGTCGAAGATCAAGCAAAGGTTGCACTTTAAGAAATTACATTGCAAATGGTACTGAGACAACATGTTCATATGTTTACCATAAATATTTTATATGATTAACCAGAGGCTCGGGTCATGCCAAGGTCCAGCCTACCAAGTTGCCTGTTGGTCCAAACCGACCATTATGACCTTAAATTAGTCAATATGTAAATGGAAGACAAATTCATTAAGTTTACTTTTATTATGGTTTTTATTTATAGCTCGTGTTTGAAATTAATTTTCATATTACCGCATTTTCATGTAATTTCAGTTCGTATATATGATATGATGATGTAATTTCAGTTCGTATATATGATATGATGTTGCTAGCAAATTATTTTTTTATATTAGTTAGACCATCGTCTAAAGAAATCACTCAATGTTATCATTTGATTTTGATGTACCCAATTAAATATGAACATTAATTCAGTTTTATTAGATATCTCCGAAGACAGTTAATTGTATGAAATGGGGATATCTAGTTAAAATGTTTCTTGTTATTATAGACAGTTTGATCCTCGGGATTACATATATCATTTTCTTTATTATGTTAGCGAATTTAGTAATTGATTTTTTAGGTATCCTAAGATAGTTACTATTGTCTAAAAGCCAAGTTTGTTAGTTTTTTTTGGGAGAAGGTTAAATGAGTTTAGGGTTCCCAAGAAATATGAAGAGTCTTGGCCCACCTTGCCCACCTATAGCTATAGTATCTAACGAAGTTCCATCCCATAACTAATGTTTGTACATAATGTTTTTGTTCAAATCAGTTTGTGGAATTACACACAGAAAGCCATTTTGATGTTAAATCAGTTTATAATCGTATTTTCATTTGACTCATAACGGTCCACGTGTTACTTAATTAGGCCTAGGTTTAAATATCTCAAATTGAAAGTAAATTGAATAGTGATCCAACCACATTATGTTGTACATTTGATAAAGAGGTCATCATAGCTACAGAAAGTGATCGATAAATGGTTGACCAAGTGATTATAACATGTCTCATGTTTCTAATGAATCGTGAAATGTGGAGGCCAACATCAACAACTTATAATTATTATTGCCAAAGTTGCTATTAAGTTTTTAAGTGGTCGTTGATTTTTGGCCACCAATGCTGACGTCAGTGTTCAGCCATTTCAGTTTTTACTCTTTAAATTTATACTTCGTAGTTAAATATGATTACAGTTTAGGCCCATTACTAGCCCAAGTAGCTTGATCGTGCTTTTTTAAGTCAGTCCATGAATACACCCTTGTGATCTTGGGCTTTTCTTACTTGCTCTTTTTGACTAAAAAGTGCAGCACTTCGTAATGCTGGAATGTGTGTTAATTCATTAGATGGGCCACCTAAAGGCATAGTGAAATACGAAGTACAAATTAAGGATTGGGCTAATTATAAAGGGATGTGATTTAACATTTTCTTTAGCGCATTCACACGATCATTCTAATTACGTTTCACTATTGCTTATTTATTGAGAGTGAGGAATAGCTCAAGTGATTAGAGCTTTTCTACTGATTTCAAGAGATCTTGGGATTAATTCTCACCCCCGCCTGTCTAGTATCTATAATATAACGTGATATCAATAGAGTAGAAATGGTAATAGAAAAAAAAAATTGGTGTTTAGGTACTACATAGTCCTTCGAGATTGTTACTTTCTCGGCAAAAGAATGATATAGCTAGACTTACTATGAAAGTTCAACTAATAGACAATTAAGCTTGTATTAAGCTTGTTTGAACAACTCATTGTCTCTAGAGTCATTGCGTCACCCCATGACGATGAGCTACTAGTTAATCTTAATCCTACATTATATTGTAATGTGGTTATTGTTTTGTAACATTTGATTATGACACGTCCTGCTATTACTATGTTGTTCATATGGTGTCTGTTTAGGTCAAAATCTGATTGCCAGATTAAACCAAGTTCAGTAGGACAACAACTAGATTAATAAATATGCAAATGCTGGTACAGGTTCAAAGAACGAAGATAAATGATTAAAAGGAGTAAAACAAAGGGGAAAGAGAGAGATACATGATACAATGACGCAGAAAACCCCAGGAATAAGGGCAAAAACTGCGGGTGGCGTTGAGTCCACCAATCTACTAATTTGAGAATGAAATACAAGTACAGTGTAGGTTGTAATTTGATCAAGAATGAATCTGTAATTTGGTTGCTAATTGTTATGGAATGTAATGCTTAGGGCTCGTATCCTCTGTTTTCACAATGGTTTTCATGCTATTTATAATAGAAGAGCCTTTTGAAGCTTTGCAACAACTCCTTTGTTGATCCCTTGAAAATCGAGGTTAGTTGCCAGGTTCAGCTCCGAGATTCATGCCATACTCTCCTTGTACTTATCCGTTGCCTTTTTTACTTGTTCAAACTAACAGTTAGTTGGAGTTTATGGTTCCTATTCATATGGCACGTATCTTGACTTATTCAAACTTGGATTATCTTAGAATATTCCTTGGAAAGATCTTCATTTAATTTCCCTTGACTTCCGGAAACCAGGTCGTTGAATTCGTAGCAACCTGTAACCTGCAATCTAGCAACCTACACACATTTGAACCTGTAGTGATAATTTAGGCATAACAGTTTGCCCTCAACTTGTCTCTTAGATGTACCTGTTGCATCAATGAGGCAAGCTTTATCATTTCGAAAAGATAAACTTTGACGCGAGTAACGAAAAGATAAAAAAATTTCAAAGATAAATCTTTAGATTCGAAAAGTTACAACAGCTTCTTGGTATTAAAACCTTGATCTTAGCTTTTGAACTTGTGCTTTAATTTGCTCGTGGAGGCAAAGGTTTTCATTCGTTAGTTTTTCCTTTGACTTTAAACACTTGATGCTAGGTTCTTTGGAATAAAATATACTTCGGTTTTACTTTCGTCGTTTTGCACTTGTGCCTTTGCTTTGAATGTCTTTGGTATCTGGCGCATTGGCCCCTAGTGTGTTCGTAGCTTTGAATGCCTTTGTACTTGGCGCATTGGCCCTTTGATGCCTAAGTCAGTACATGTTCTAGTAGATTGATTAAAAACAAATTGATAAAGTTTGAAGTTACTTGGTTGATTCTTCATCTTTGTTCATCTATGAATTCTGGTTGTATCTGGGATTCAGGTTATCTCTTTGAATCTGGAGAAACAGTGGGTTAGAGATGACCGTTGGCGTTGCCGCCAACGGCCCTCCGATGCTTAAGTTAGTACTGTCTTGATGGAGATAAAACCAAAATAAAGCAATGAACTTAAATATATAAATATATATTTTTTTTTTAACAACTAACTTAAAAAGAAGTGTAGATAACCTGGGAATAACTTAGAAGCAAGAAATAGCTTAGAAATAGTGTGAAGACAACCTAGAAACAACTTAGAAAAATAACTTAGAAAAAATTTAGAAGAAACTTAGAGACAACTTAGAAAGTTCTTAGAAATGGTAAGCTTTCAAGTGTGCTGTGTTCCAGATTCTAGGTACCAGCTTACCTTCTGGTATGACTAACTTGTTGGCCTTTTTTCCAATTACCTTATCAATCTGGTATGGGCCTTACCAGGTTGCCTCTAGCATACCTACATATACTCCAAACGATAACTTAAATGGATTCAGCTTCCTCTGCACGAACTTCAGCCATTGCTATGATTCTAACCTCTTCAAAGGAGGCACAAGGATATCTGGTCAACTCATAATACAATCTGGATTGATAATTAAGACCTTGGCGGAATGCTTCTATGTTGTTGAATGATCGCAGTTTTTGATGTTGACCATCTCACTGTTGAACCTGCCCCAATATTCTCTGGTTGTCTCATTCTGCTTCTAAACAACGCGGTACAGATCGCTGCTCTGCATCTCCAACTCCCTGCTAGTTGCAAGCTATTGATAGAACTTATTCGCCAAGCTAGAGAAGTTGTTGATAGATCCTGGCTTCAGGTTGACTAGCCATTGGAGTGCAAGTTCAGCTAGAGTAGCGTCAAAGGACTTGCACATGGTGGGCTCAATAAGTTCCCACATAATTGATAGTTGCCACATCCTCTGCTTGTATTGGGCCACATGATCTTCAGGGTCAGTGGTCTCATCGTACAGCTTGGGGAATACTGGAATGTTCAGGTTTTTGGGAATCTGAACTTGCGCAATCTCCTCCACGAAGGGAGACTCATTAAATCCATCAGGAGATTCATAGGCCACAGGTTTCGGTGCACCTGGTAGTCGGGTCAAGAGCTTCATAATTTTCCGATTTTGGGCCACGATTACAGCCACCTTTTTTGCTATGGGGTCAACATCTTCTTCATTAGTTTCCTTCTCTGGTTTTTTATACTTTTCCCCCTCTTCATCGGATTTGTCGGATGAGACTAAGGAGAAATGGGGGATGTCATCAGTTTTGACCCTTCTTCTCTTGGTGCTCTTGACAGATTCAAATCTCTTGTTCAGCTTTTCCAAGGTCACTTGATGAGATTGAGATTCGCTCTAGAGCTTCTGGTTTTGCTCCCGGGTAGCTTTTAGCTCTTCTCGGGTTTCCGAACTGCTAGAGGATTTCGGCCATGGTAGGATTTTGCTCATGAGTCTCAACCATGATGAATGATAAATGGGATGAAACGAATAGGGTGATCTAACTGTGTCCCCACAGACAGCGCCAAACTGTTTAGGTCAAAATCTAATTGCCTGATTAAACCAGGTTTAGTAGGACAACAACTAGATTAATAAATATGCAAATGATGATACAAGTTCAAGGAACAAAGATAAATGATTAAAAGGAGTAGAACAAAGGGGAAAGATATAGTGAGACGATATGATGATGAAGAAAACCCCAGGAATAAGGGCAAAAACTGCGGGTGGCATTGAGTCCACCAATCTACTAATTTGAGAATGAAACACAAGTACAATATAAGTTGTAATTTGATCAAGAATGAATCTGTAACTTGGTTGCTGATTGCTAATTGCTATGGAATGTAATGCTTAGGGCTCGTATCCTCTGTTTCACAATGGATATCATGTTATTTATAATAGAGCCTTTTGAAACTTTGCAACATCTCCTTTGTTGATCCCTTGAAAGTCGGGGTTAGTTTCCAGGTTCAGCTTCGAGATTCATGCCATACTCTCCTTGTGCTTATCCGTTGCTTTTCTGACTTGTTCAAACTAACAGCTAATTGGAGTTTATGGTTCCTATTCTTATGGCACGTATCTTGACTTATTCAAACTTGGATTATCTTAGAATATTCCTTAGAAAGATCTTCATTTAATTTCCCTTGACTTTTGAAAACCAGGTCGTTGACTTCGTAGCAACCCGTAACCTGCAATCTAGCAACCTACAGACATTTGAACCTGTATTGATAATTTAGGCATAACAGTGTCTCAATTTATGCGTGCCCTCATATTACTCATTATACTCAACTTGATATTATAAAGAGAATTTTCAAGTATATATATCTAAAGGAATTTTTTAAGTGTGGATTGTTTTTTCATTCCATTGGTTCTCTTATTATTGTGCGACTTCTTACTTAGATGCTAATTAGGCTAGTCACTTAGATGGTTGACACTTTACAACATGTTTTGTTGTGCTTTTCGAGAAAAATTTAAATTCTAAGCACTAAAAAAAAACCTGTTGTACTGTGTCTAAGTCCTCCACTAGATAAGTGAAAATTTAACCAGAGCAACTTCTTGATGATGTTGGCTATTTCCTTAGATAATGGGGGGATCGGATGTGAATGAAGATAAACTTGGTGATGGATGGATCGTTGGCGGATGAAGCATCACCCAACAAACCTCCGATCCATTGCCACTTATAATATTGATATTTTTATCATTTTGTTCGAAATGGTTACTAATGGTGGTCTACGTGACCATCATGTTCCAACAAAGCTACGTGTTGCAGATCTACATGAATAGTGTTTGGACAATTATACCCTCTAGAATATTTTTTTTACTTATTTGCCCTCATTAATGTTGGTTGCCTCTTTTTTTAAAAAAAAAAATCATAAGAATAGTGCGGTATACCCCTAATTTTTTTAACATGTTTTTCCCTTATTATTGCTGCCAACAACTAAATTTGTGACATAAAGTCAAACCGAAAGAGCTCTTTGGACATGGCTAGCTATGGCACACATGATGCGCGCGTTAGCCGCCTTAGTAATTCCTAAACGTTCGACTCACTTCTTGTTTTGAGATGTTTTAAAAATACCTACTCATTTTTTCTTTATTTTAGTTTTTGCAAACCTCTTTATCACATTACTCTTTCGATCCAACCATATTTATGATCTCTCTCTTATTGTTAATGCACACATCGGGTGCATATAAAGGCTAAGCATATATATGTAAGGAAAAGCCAAAAAGTCTCTCTATAGGATCAAAACCTATCATGGGTCAACTTGGCTTGAGTATATAGGAAAAAACCCTCTAAAAGTAGAAGAAGGGGAAGTAGAAATGGAGGAATGTTATGCATGTAGTAATGCATAACATTTAAAACGGGTGGTTAAGTAACGACTGAGACCCAAAAAAGCAAAACGGGTTTAAAGAAAGTGGGGAAAAAAAAGAGAATTGCATGTATAAACTTAAAGCATAGAATACTTGTGTACGTAGAGCACATATTTAGCAAAAAACACTTACTGAGTTCCCCTCTTGAGTTGTTTTTTCTTTGTTCTTCAAATTTTCTCTAATTTTTCCCTCAATTTCTAAAATTTCATAGCAAAATTCTTTATGGTTCGAAATGGCAAGGAAAATGTTAGTGATGGATGATCCATTCTTACAAAATTGTATAGAGGATGAATCTGGTTTAGTAGTTCAAAATTGGGTTGCGGTCGGACCCGAGGATGAGGTCGAACCTGGGAATGAGGTTGGACCCGAGAATGAGGTCGGACCGGAGAATGAGGCTGTTGGTTTGGATGTCAGAGGTTCAGTTGAGGAAGTCGTGGATGGAGAAGATGATGCTTGTGCAGCAGCACTTGAAGCATTGCTAAAGGAAGTCTTATTAGGTATTTCTATTATCAGGTATTTCTATTTCGCTATTTATTACTTGTATTTGGGTTTTTGGTATATTTGGTTTGAGGTGTTTGTAGTGTTTCAATTTCGAATTCTTGAAATTAGGGGTTTCATTTTTATGCAAATGGTTTGATTTAATCTTGAAATTAGTGTTGTAGCATGCAATTCTGTTATAGTATAACATTGTGGTGGGGATTATGTGTGGTTGGGATGTGTATGTTATTTTTTAAACATGGTGGTGGGTCTTATATGTGGGAATTTTAGGTATTATTGATATAATAATGCATGCCATTAATTTTTGATCGATTAAACTATTTGGTTGTTGTTGGGATCTGTATGCTATTTTTAAACATGGTTGGTATTATTGATATAATAATCATGCCAATAGTTGTTGTATACACTTTACTTAATTGTTGTATTGAATCAAGGTGAATGTTAGGGAGGAGTCCTATAAAACTCCCACAAAAGGAAAGAATAATGTGGCTATTAGTGTGGATTGAAGAGTTTGCGAATATGGAGGTTTCATCCCCCCCCCCTGGCTGTGGGAATGGTGTTTGATAGTTGGCAAAAAATTGACTAGTATTTTAGGAATTATGGGAACCAAGAGGGTTTTGGTGTAGTGCGCTCATGTGGAGCAACATTCGGGAAAGGATCTAATGCAAAGGATAAGAGGAATATCTCTTGAACATGTGAATGTTATGGTTTGCCAGGTAGGAAGAGGAAGAAAATAGGTTCGACTTTTGTTTTTGATTCACATATATGTGATGAAGTATTGGTTAAACGAAAGAGCAAAAAAGTCGATTGTGGTGTGAATTTGAATGTTACGCTGAATCGAGCTGGTGAATGGTTAATTAAGAGAGTGAAGCTTGAACATACATGATGGTCACAAACCTACGCCTAGCAAGTAAAAAAACATTACTAAGTTTAGGAAAAAGTTCCTTACGGACAACCCTCACCTTGTGCAACAGTTGTTCAATGATCGAAAAACCAGAGTTCATGTTTCTCAGATTTATAACTGTATGGCCTGGAAAAGAAATGGACGAGAGATGCAATTCACTCAAAAAGATTTGCAGGAAGAAGTGGCGAAGCAAAGAAAAGTGAAATTTCAGGAAGGTGATACTAAGGCTATGTTTGATTACTTTAAGTGGATGGTAGATGACAATGCCAATTTTTTCCACACCAATCGTGTGGATGAGATGGGTCGCTTACAAGACGTATTATGGGTTGATGCAAGGAGTCGGGTGGCGTTTGAGGAGTTTGGTGATGTTGTTTGTTTTGACTCTACCTACCTTACTAACGAATCCCTTTTGTAACTTTGTTGGTGTGAATCATCACGGGCAAACAATTTTGTTTGGCTGTGCATTGGTTTCCCGTGAGACCTCAAAAACCTTTGAATGGGTTTTCTCTAACTGTTTGCGGTGTATGGGAAAAAAACCCATTGGGATTCTAACAGATCAAGACCCGGCCATGAGGAAAGCGTTAAAGCTGACCATGAAAGGAAGCACTCATCGATGGTGCATTTGGCACATTACCCAGAAATTTGCCAAGAAGTTAGGGAAGCTCCCTGATTATCTAGATATTCATGATGATCTTGAGAATGCCATTTATGTCAGTCTAGATTGTGAAGAGTTTGAGAGTAATTGGCAAGCGGTGATCTAGAAACACAAATTAGAAGATGATGAATGACTAACAGGTTTGTGTGTTTTTTTATTTACTCTTGTTTTCAGTGGTAAAATTGTTTTTGCTGTATTTGGAGGTGATGGATGGTTATTGTTGTTTATTAGTCTAGTCTGGTGAAATTGAGTCTGCTTTGGGCCAGAATTCTTTGGGCCATAATTCTTTCTGAAATTGAGTCTGCTTTGGTATCTTACCTGCCTGGTATGTGGGTTATGCAACTGTGTTGTTATTGTGTTCCTACTGTTTGGGGATGCTTGATGATGATTGGCGTGTTTTCTTGTTGTTTTCCTGCATGTTTTTTGTACCTTTGCACCCACTAGGGTGTTGAATACCTTTCCTAGTATGTGGTCTGGCCTGGTATGTGGATATTTGGCCTGGCAACTGTGTTGGTATTGCGTTCTGACTGTGGTTCTAGTTTGTGTGTGCCTATTGTGTGCCTGGGATTGCTATATTGTCTTCTCACTGTGGGACTGATTTACCTTGGTTCTGGTTATGACTTTGTCAACTAGGCATAGTTATATGCTGATGAATATGGGCAATATCTGGGCAGGGTTGTATGAGGAGCGCGATATGTGGGTGCCTGCCTTTGTGAAACACTTGTTTTGGGCTGGCATAAAAAACAACGCAGCGTGTCGAGAGTATTCACAGGTTTTTTTATGGATACCTCAAGCGCACAATGTTATCTGAGTTTGTAGAGCAGTATGTCGATGCCTTATAGGTTAGATAAACAAGTGAGAAAAGGGCTGATGACAATAATGAGAGGTATGTTCGACAAGCATACAATATTTTCTAGCTAAATTGGTTTTCCAGAAAATATACACCAATGCCAAATTCAAGGAGGTTCAAAGATAGTGCAGTCGCATAATGTATGTGAGCGAGATTAGTAGGAACCAACTTTCTGATACTTTGACTAAAGATGTTGTAGAGGATCGAGTGTGGTATAATCCAAAAAACTCTAGGAAGGCTTCAAAGAGAAAGAGGGAGTACAAGCTTGTCTATGACAGTTCCAATAAGGAAGTTTCGTGTGATTGTCGGTTGTTCGATTGTTATGGCATTATTTGTCGCTACATGATAAAGATGTACAAGATGAGCAACTGTTATGAAATACCTGATAAATACATTTTACGTAGCTGGAGGAAAGATGTCATAAGAAAGCACACACAGGTAAATGTTTGTTACCATGACCCTAGTAAAACAGAAGAGGTTTGTAGGTTTGACAAAATGATGGTTAGGTTTGGTTCGGTATGTTCCAAGGCATCGACTTACCTTGAAGCAACTGCAGTGGTCATGCAAGCATTACAGCTTCTGGGACTACAAGTAGATGAAAATATTGCAGTGGTAAGTAAGAAGGGGTTAGTTGGAACACCTTCATCTGTTTGCATGGAGAAGGGAAATGATAGTACACCTTCTACCCAAAGACAAGGTAGTTGTGACCCCCAAGAACGGGAAGATCCGGTAATACCTAAAGACCATCCCCTTCCAAAGAGGCCTGCTTATCGCACCACCGATTCAAGGTATAAGTCATGCCTTGAGAAACCTAGAAAGACAGCTAAAATGGCAAAGACCACACAAGGAAAAAAGAACAAAGACTCACAGGCAGCCTTGACTACTCCTAGTTCATCATCCATGCAAGTAATCTGTTTTGGCTATGTATTTATTCAAACCTACAAAATACTTCCATTTCATACTAGTTCACATTGAGACTGTATTTATGCAGGCAGCTCCCTCCAATATGGTTCAGTACAACCCTCAATATTATTATAGCCCTTATTCCGCTAGAGGTATACAAATGGTGGATATGGATGGGTCCATTAGGTACTTTACTTCCGTTGGTGGTGGTGTTTAGCAATTTCATGGTTCCCAGATATCATCCCAAGGATACTATATTCCTTATCCGCAACTTCCATTGGTTAAGGGTCCATATCCGATGCCCGTAGGTGGGTGGAGAAGCCCTGTGTCACCTGTATCAGCTATATCAAGGCAAGGAGGTCCCGTCCCCATACTTCCACGACCTTGGCCACTTACAATTCTAACTCCGTCAGCACCACAAAAGAGTTAATGCATTGTTTTGCATTAATGACTGACAATGATGTAGGATGCTCTGCTTATCTTAACTGGTATTACTTTAAGTAGAGCCTTTTAGAGTTGGTACTTTGTAATTTTTAATTAATATCTTTAATGAAAAAAATTATGAAATGTTGGCTCTGACACTACTAATCAATCCACTATTACAAATAATTATAAGACTGAATCATTAAATAGTTATATTGGACATTAAGTTCAGCATTTAAATGGATACAATGGTACATTCTTCGATACCACTACTAGTAAAATGGTAAAACTATATAAACCAACTATACATTTGAAAGTGTAAAGGTCTTACTCCTTTGTAGATACCAGCAAACTAAATAAAAATAGAACTTTGACTAACAAGGGTACCATTGAGCAAATTATGAGCATAGTTAGTTATCACCATTAAGGGTTTTACAGGGTACCACTGACATTTAGAAGGGTTTCATTTACAGGATCAAGATAACCATTACAAGGGAAAGGGTACCACAGTAAATATATTTAATCCTATTAGTGGATACCCATGTTGAAGTATTTGGTTTGTCTACAAGGTAAAAGTTATGTAGGGTTTAGGGTTGAAGGAGGGTTAAAGTTTATAAAATGTAGGGTATCGTTGAATAAGAGATTTATGTTGTTGGCAAAGGAAGTGAGTCTTATTAGGACTCATATGCCTAATTTCATGTACCATTGTTGTCATGTTAGTTTAACTAGATTGTCAATCATACTACTAAAATGGTAAAAGGAAATGTCTAACTTAGTTAAGGGTTATTATTGTTAATATTATGGTTTTGTGGTACTAGGGTCCTTAAGCTACAATATTTATTATACTAATATTGGTTATGGTCACATATAAACTACAATATCCAATGGGACACTTTGTTTCATTCTACTTCGTTTCATTTTACAATCCTCAAATTCAATACTTAAATGTTTATGTTTATGTTTTGCTTGTTTATTATAGTCCTTATGACTTGTTAATTTATATTCGTTTAGATCTCATTTATTTGTTCTTATATCTTCATCTAGTTGCATATTAATTTCACTTGTTATCCTATATGTGTAGATGTTGTGCTATTTCATTGATTTAGGCTAGGTTTTCAATATGTGTTACTAGTTGAGGTGTAATAGTGGGAATGGTTATAGTGGAAATGGTTGATGATTCTGAATATTTGGTTGCGATTATTAGATTATTTTACATAATTGATGATGTAGTTGAATGATATAAGTTTGTTTGATAATAAGAGGTTAGTCCAACGCCCTATGAGTTGAATGATATAAGTTTGTTTAATAATAGGATGGGATTGGGTGTTTAAAAAATGTAGGGTACCAGTGGATTACAACGGATATCACTATTAATATAAACACAACACTCACATACACCAAGGGTACCACTGATATAATGTAAGGATGGAGCTTCAGGTTTTAGGATGGGGATGAAAAGCGAAGGGTAACACCGAATGGACAAAGGGTACCACTATTAATATAAATAGACCAACTATATATTCCAAGGGTACCACTCATCTAAATTAATGATGGGATTTGGGTGTTTAAAGTGTTAAGGGTATTACTGAAGTAACAAAGGGTACCACTATTAATATAAATAGAGCAGCTATGTATGCCATGGGTACCAATACCTTAACTAAATGGGATGGAAGTACCTGATAGCAGGACTCATAATGTTATGAAATTGTACCACATATATCATTCTTTGTTACACCCTATTAATACACTTACATTCATACTACCGATATAGTTTTTAAGGCTATGAGTAACTAAATGTAGCTTCATTGTCTATTACATTACAACAGGTTATCTGAACTTAAGGATCAATATTGGGTGACTAATTAATAACATGTATAAATAAAGGGATAATTACCTTCATTGTACAATACTCTAAATCAAATCGTCATACAAACTAGTTTAACTGGAATACATACCTTCAATGAGGCAACAACTATTGCCATTAATGTTTTGAAACATGTAGATAATCACTTAAAATATAGATGGATCCACTAAATGTTGTAAATGTTTCTTTGATTTGTAAATTAGACGCAGTGATAGCTAGAAGGGTTTCATTTCCTTACCCTTTAGTGGAGTGAGTGATACAAAAATGAAACCATTATACTCTCAATATGATACGAGGACTAACTACTTATCTGAGTTGTACAATATGACTTTCAAAGGTCTTAATTACTACCCTTGCAAGTGTTGCTACATGATGGTAAAGTTATACTGAAACTACATACAGGCATAACTTTTTTACAAAAATTCAAAGTTGGCTGTGCGGGAGATTTATTGTGGCATTACCGCCATACCCAGTTTTGATCATCCTTATAAATAGGGCTTCCTTGAAGGCTCTATCTAAACCGCCATACCCAAGGAGGCCTTTGATGAGTCTAATTTATATGTATATTTATTCCCCGTCCCATGGTCATATTTGTGCTTATTTGAGCTCTATAGTGCTATTTTTATTACTAATATACATTTTCTAGTGTTTTTGTAGAGTTGGTATTATTTTTGTAGGAATTTGCAGATTCATGATGATTCCTGAGCTTATTGAGCCACT